GGGAAGGGGTGTGTGTGTGTGTGTGTGTGTGTGTGTGTGTGTGTGTGTGTGTAGGGGGGAGTCTGGAAATTCTTCAAACTGCCAAAGGAGGTTCAGAAGATGTTTTCTTTTCCTGTACAAATAGCTCAGCCTTGAGAAATGGGTAGTCAGCTTATTCCAGGAATTATTCCGTTCTTTCCATCGGTGCCCCCTCCTGCACAAGCATCCTGGCCTTGTAATAAGGATGGGCCACTGTAGTTGCTAAGACAACACATGGCAAGCGTGGAAAATAATGTAAATCATGCTTTTAATGAAGAACGAGATAAAGGCCCAGAGTTTTTCCGCCCGCGTCCCTCTGTGGTGATCCCCCACAGTTTTATTTCCTCATCTACTTTATTCTCAGAGACGATACAGCACCCTGGCTTTAATGAAGCAGCTGGTTTTTGAGGTCAGTAAGATTTTTGGCAAGAGAGTGATGGAGTCAGGAAGAATACATAACATACTTTTAGTAGGACTAGGGCATGAGTTAAGCCCCTGGTCCCATGACGGTATTTATTAGACCAATCAGTGATGAAACTTAACTTTGATAGGTTCTAATTATCACGCAAAAATGCTTTGTCTTGGCATGGTACTTCTTGATAAATAATCTCAAACTTCTTTGACCTGTATCCCTCAAGTCTGAGCACCCACACTGCTAAATAGGTATGGTAGCAACTCAAGGAAGGACAGGATAGAGCCTTCCTGCAAGATATTTTCCATTCCCCCCCCCCATTACTAGGGGTTGAACCCAAGTACAGCCACTGGGTTATATCACTGTATCACCAACCCGTTTAAATTTTATTGAAACTTCAAGACAGTCTTAATAAATCACTAAGTTGTCTCGGCTGGGCTTGCAATCGTGATCCTCTTGTTGCAGAGCCCTCACCCCCACCCCTGTGTGTGCTGTGATTGCAAGTGTGTGTCACCATGCCTGGCTCCAATCCATGTTTTGCAAAGGGAAAAACTGAGATGCTTCTTCTTAGCAATAGCTTCTCACGTCCCTTCTTGATCCACTTCTAAGAGGTACTGATCGGAAGCCTGCAAGTCTGAGTGACTTCCCAGCAGGGAGAGGAAAAGTGCTAAGTTTGAGTTGATCACCAGTGGCCAGTGACATAATTAACCATACCTGCGTACTAAAGTCTGCTCAGAAGCCCAAAGGTCTGGGTGTGAAGGGCGTCATGTGTCTTTCCTAATGCATCTCCTCCCTCTAGCTATTCACCTTCATCCTTTGTACTATTGTATATAATGGCAAAAATAAGTGAAAGTTTCCCTGAACCACCTCAACAAATGAAGGGAACTCAATGAGGAGGTTGTGGGAACCTTGATTTATAGTCCATCTATTATAAGGTCATAGTTGGGGGTTTGGGACAAAACATATGAAGCACTGGGAGAATTTTGGGCACTGAGTCCTCGAGTTACAAGCTCTCTAGCCGTCTCCAAGGAGATAGTGTCAGGACTGAACTGACCTGAAGGACATGGCAGTGAGTGTCTGAGGGAGAGTCAGTCGGTTGTTGTTAGTAGGAAGAAATCCCTGGACATTTTGGTGGCCAGCGATGAGGTGATCTGTGTTGTCCTGACTGTGAGGGAATAGGAAAAATACTTTGTTTTATTCCCTAAATCTAATGATTATATACTCATTGTTTTCAACTTTTACCCCTCCATTGTTTCTTGAACTTTTCTTTCTTTC